AAACAAACAAAATTTAACAATGGTTGTTAAATCAGAATTTCTCGTGTTGCTACTCATTATTATATAAGAATGAAAACGTAATATATTTTTTTAATTAGGAAGGTAGAATTGATATATAACAGATATGAAAGATATATGAAAGTTTAGAAACTAAAAGATAGTATAAAAATTTAGGGAATAGATTATATATAATTTAGACTTCCATTTTATTTAAACAAAGATTTATTTCTACCTTTGTGCTTTTTTTTCTTTTAACTTTTCCAAACCATCATTTTATTAAGTAGCTGAAGAAGTAGAAAGACCCAAGAAATTAAAATTTAAAGTTAGAACTAAATCGAGGGTTGTTCTTCAGGGGAGATGATTTTTTTTTTTTTGGGTAGAAAATTATGAACATGTTCTTCGATTCTATTTGGTTTCAGCGAGTGTACACTTGAATTCGAAGTTGTGTTAATCTTAAGCAACAATCGACAAGCAAGCACGATAGTCGTGCTGTAATTGCTTCATCCCATGACACAACTGTCTTTTACATTTAAAATTCTCATTCTATTCATCTAAATCTCTTTAGTTCCAACCGTACTAAAAGAAGGAAAGAAACAACCACACAAATATCTAAAATGAAAAGAAATGATAATTTAAAGCAATTTAATAACCATCTTATTTTTTATTTTCTACTTTTGAAAATTAAGCCTATTTTGACTATGGTTTTAGTCAGTTATCTAATTTTAGAGAATGTTTTCCATATCTAATCCAAAATTTAATTCTCATTCTATTCATCTAAATATCTAATCCAAAATTTTAAAAAGTTAAAAAGAATATCCAAGTTAAAACAAAACTTGTTATTATCTTAAAGTAAGTAGGTATAATTTTTCAAAACTAAAAACTAAATAAATAAAATCATCACCAAACGTGAATATACCAAATTAAGAGTATTAATTTTACCACTTATTCAAGTTTAACATCTAACTCGACTACTGAGCATATCTCACCAAATTAAAACGCTTACTCTCAATAAAAAAGATATAAGTTTGAATCTTCAACTCCACATGTCGTATTAGAAAAAAATACCCCTCTCGACAACCAAATCCAAACATAATTAAGCGAGTAATACCTACTCAAGTTAAATAAGTAAAAAAGTTTCACTTTGACTTATTAAAAATGTAATTTTTTTTAGCCCCACCAAAGATGCAAACTTTTGCATCAATAGTCAAACAAAAGAAATTGGGTGGCCAAGAAATGGAAGAGAGAGGCATTGGGCAAGAGGAACTGAAACCAAGAAAAGAACAAAACCCCACCACCAAACATATTCACTGCCAAATTATTACCAATCATTAATACACGCTTTTCCCTTCACACCATTCTTTGGTTAAAAATCCCCCAAAAAATGGTTTCCAATAAAGAAATCCGTAATCCATCCACCCACAATCCCCAAATTTGTTCTTCTGTTGTGAAAAATTCTCTCTCGTATTCACCCTTCTTATTTTTAGCAAATTTTCGTTACGAAACTTCTTCGCCTTCTTGTCAAATCGTCACTCTCATTACCCTCTGCAACCTTCTTCCATCTTACCCCCAATCCCCTTTTTCTTGATTTGGACAAACTTGTCCCGACAAGGGGGATATTCAAATCCGTATTTTCCTGCCTTCGATTTTTTCTGCTTCCATTTCTTTGGGAACTGGATCACTTTGGACGAGGCAGAAAAAATCGAAGATTCCGGCTGGCAACTGGGCGTTAAACCGAATTGGGTATTTCAGTTTTCAATCGTTTGATACATTAAAGATTCTTGTTGAAGAATTTCGAAGTTGGGTTCGTCGATTTGAGCTGAATTTGGAAGTGGGTCTGATTCGGTGGTGAAAAAGGGTGGAGAATTTCTTTTAAAACAGTCGAAAATTTTTGGGGGTTTTTCCCCATTTGTATTTTAGCTTCGGCCCTTGATTTTCACCTCGGCATTTCCTTAGCCGGCCTTTTTGTCTTCCTCACTCTGGGGGAATTTATGTAAGATTGTTTATATACTGAACTTCTAGATTGTTGAAACCAATCAATTTGGATGCCCTGGAGAGAATTGGGGGCATATTCCTGATTGATTGGTGGGAATTAGGTTGCGTTTTGTCTGTGAATTTGGGTGGATTAGTTTGTAAATTCTTATGAAATTTTAGGTGAGATTATCGGGTTAGAAAGGTGTTTTCTGGCTTTTTGATATACCCTAGGTTTCTGAGTGGAATCTCTTGGAGAAAAAAAATGAAATTTCTAAGCATTGTTGGGAATTCTTTTGGATGTTCTGCATCTGGGGAGCGCTTAGTTTCAGCAGCAAGAGATGGAGACCTGCAAGAAGCCAAGGCTCTGTTGGAATACAATCCTCGTTTGGCGAGGTATTCAACTTTTGGTGTCCGAAATTCCCCCCTCCATTACTCTGCAGCTCATGGCCACCATGAGGTATTTTGCTTTCCTTTTCGATCTCTTTCTCTCTCTCTTTAACTTTGAGATTTTCCCAAATGTCTCTCTGATGGGGTAATTCAATTTCTGCAGATTGTGTCTCTATTGCTTGAATCTGGGGTCGAGATAAATCTACGCAATTACCGGGGTCAGGTGCGATGAATGCCATTGTTTGTTGCTCTCTGTTTTCAATTAGTTTCATTCGGGCCGTTTCTCTATGTAATTATTTTGTTTATCCGTCTCTGAATGCCAAAATTATGATTAGACTAGACCTTCAGTTTAGCTGGAAGCTTCCTTGTTGTGCGTGTGTGAGAGATTGTTGGTGTTCTGAATTGAACTTTTCGGTTTCGTTGACAGACAGCCTTGATGCAAGCTTGTCAGCATGGCCACTGGGAGGTTGTTCAGAATCTGATACTTTTTAAAGCAAATGTGAGTTGCTTCCCTTTGCATTAATTCCACTGGTCTAAATTTCTCTATGAAGTAGTTTATGGGATATGTATGATAATGTTATGATCTGTTCTTTGGGAAACAATAGATTCACAGAGCGGATTATTTGAACGGAGGTACCGCTCTTCACATGGCTGCTTTGAACGGTCATTCTCGGTGCATCAGGCTTCTGCTTGCTGATTATGTACCCAGTACAAATTTTTGGAATATGTTAAATATTAGTTCGAACAATGAAGAACCCATTTCCAAGTTCGACTTTAGGTATTGTTGTTTGATTGATCCTGTTCAGTTATAGACTTCTTTATTCTGCGAAGTGCCACATCAAGTTATTGACTAATTTTCTTGCATCTCACCCATCAGTGCTCTGAATGAGGTAGTTAACAGGACAGCCGATGGAGGCATCACAGCTCTGCATATGGCAGCGCTTAATGGGCACGTTGAGAGCATTCACTTACTTTTGGACTTAGGTGCCTCTGTTTCTCAGGTTACTGTAGAAGACGGAACGACCATCGATCTAATAGGTACTCGCTTTTTAGTCCCATCTTTCATTTCTCTTATGCAGTTCTTAGTGTATCCATTCTTCTGCTGTTATGAGGATCTTATTTGAAAACTATTGTTTTCTTGTTTCTCATTACTGTAAGGTCTAAAGTGGTCGAAGTATTTCTCGTTGATCAGTTTTTAACTGTGTTAAATTAGACTGCTGATACATAAAAGATCAATAGCATGTCACTACTGTCCTGTATCGCGAAAATTGTTCTGCTCTGTGCCTCTCTGCATCAAATTTTACGTTGTAATCCAATTCAATTGATTGTTGTCAGAAATTGTTATTTTGTGTGTGGAATTTGATGTCATTATATTTGGAGTTCGGGTATGTTCTTTCCTAAAAGGCAATCATATTCTCATTAGAACTCTATGACGCAATTGTGAAATCTATAGAACAGATCCCGTTCAAGTTTGTCGTTAAAAGACAATCATATTCTTGTAAACATGTTCATTAGTTGCACTTTTCCTACAACTGACCGTGCCAGCTAGAATTAGTCTGTTAGGAGCTGAAAGACATTGGTTCTTCAGGCTTTCTTCTGAAGTTTGATTTTATGTCATTGATAGGTGCTGGAAGCACAGCCCTTCATTATGCTGCATGTGGTGGGAATGCTCAATGCTGTCAAGTAAGTCCTTTATTTGAAGGCCATAAGGAAAATGATAAGAAATTTTCACAATTCATTCCCTAATTCTGCATGGTACTTGAAATGATTTTTTGTAAATGTTTTGGTTTCAGATGCTGATTGCTAGGGGGGCCAGTCTTACTGCTCAAAATGCAAATGGGTATGCTTCTCCCAAGTACTCATATTTCTCGAGACAATCGATATGCAACTGCACTTCTATTTGGCCTTTCGTTCTCTAGATAGGTCTTACTCTATGGTTATTTTGTTGGTCTTTTAGATTCAACATGTCGCAACACGGGGCATAAGAAAAGGGATCCTATCAACTTGTTCCATAGTGATTTTACTTTCCCCTTATTTGGATAAAATGGTAACATTAATAACACATAGTGAAATGCCAAAGTGAGCATAGCTCAGCGGTTATTGGCATATACCTCCAACCAAGAGGTTGGGCCACGTACCTAGAATTTAAGTGAGTATAGAATTTTATTTTAGAACTTTCTATTTCTCATGGTTATGATGCATACAATGAAGACCATAGATAAAGCAATCTGTTATTTGGATAATTCTATTTGTCTTACTCAATAAACTTGGAGTTGTCAGATCATCCTATGTTTTATCTTTTTGAAGATGGACTCCCTTGATGGTTGCTCGTTCGTGGCACCGAGACTGGCTCGAGGAAATTCTTAGCAAAGAACCGGTAGAGGCGACAAATCTTCTCCCTTCGCCATATTTGACTCTTCCCCTTATGAGCATTGTTCACATTGCAAGGTGAGTAATGCCTAACAAAAATTATAGTATCTACCGACGTGGTTCGTACTCCTCTATGATTTGGAGAAAACATCTTCTAGTCTCTACTCTACTTTTTACATAAGAAGAAGCAAAAAAGTTCTGTAAAGATTTGTTACCCATCTTAATTGCTTTTAGCCTTTCATAACCAACAACCCCTTTCAGATTTCTTCTATTCCTCGAGACTAATAATTCCTTTCGCCTCGTTTTAGCTTAGTTATCGAATGCCAAACCACTTTCATTAAACGATTTCTTAATGTTCATTATTATAGCTCTTTTGATAACCTTTCTATTTCTAATATTCTTTTCTTCTCGAACGCCTGCAATTCGTCGCAAGGTTGAATGATTACTAACTTATGAATCCCCCTGCTATTTGCAGAGAATGTGGATGGAGAAGTAGTGATTCTTTACTTACATGCCAAGATCCGTGTGTTGTCTGTTTGGAAAGAGAATGCACAGTTGCTGCACAAGGTAAACTAGGTTGAAAAAAGACGAGACGAATGCGTTACGATTATTATTGTCCTGTTTATATATCGTAATGATTTTGCACCGGAAGTCATCCTCATTTCAATTTTTTCTACTCATGTTCTGAAATGGAGTAGAATATGATCTAAAAATATTTCAAAGTTTTCAATCCATTAAGTTAAACGGATATAAACTTGAAATGTCGCAGGTTGTGATCATGAATTCTGCACGAGCTGTGCGCTGTACCTCTGTTCTACAAACTGCACATCATCTGTTTCCAATGGTCCGCCCGGTTCAATTGCGTGCCCGCTCTGCCGAAATGGCATAGTTTCCTTCGTTAAACTTCCTGGAACGAAGCCAATTGCGAAAGGGATCACCAGAACAAGTTTGTCTCTATCATTCTGCACATGTTCTGGTGAGGTACCAGAACCTCCCTCCACATTAACCACACCATTATGCAAGCCCGAGATCAATTGCTCCCGAATTTCTCCGCTCGGGGCCTCGTTCCGATCACTCAGCTGCCAGAGGTTTCCTTCAGTGAAACTTAACCCCAATCTTTGTATGGGAGATCCACAAAATAGTTCTTCAATGGTTCCTTGCAATGAAAACAGAAACATGAGGAACCATGTTGCAAAGTGTTCTAGATCATCAGGTTTCCGACGAACAGCATCTGAAGGTAGGAGATCATGGTTGTCTGCGCTGAATCAATACGTGACGACTGGGAGCGGATGCTGAAAACCGTCGAACGCCACACCCCTTTTCCCTTCACAAGTTTTTTCTCTCTCTCTCTCTCTTTTTTTTTTTTTCCTTTTTCCCTTCTACTTTATGTTAAATGTCCATATGTTTACCCCAAATCAAAAGAAAGGATTATATTTCTGGGAATGATCCTAAATATGATCATTTCGGAGCAGTGAAAAAATCTGTTGAGCTCCATTTTGTTTCAAATTTGATCCTTTCTATTTTGTCCTTCCATGAAAAAGAAACAAGAAGAATGCTGAGTTTTGTCGACACTGATGATTGGCTGTGTATATATGTTGTGGAAAAGTTACAAAGTTGTATTGAAACAAGAGTCCAAAGCTCTCTCCTTTCTCCAAGGAGAATTTTGTATGAACATGATATGAAAAAGATATTGATAAGCTAATTGAAATTATGTGTTTATATGTTATTCTTGACTTTATAATATTTTCATATTACTATTTCAAGGTTATTATTATAATTTTTTTAAAGTTCCTCTCTTTCTCTCCCTCATATGTCAAAAAGTTAGCAGTGGCCTAATGGGGTATTAAGTCAATAAGAAAATATTGTCTTTTCATATTGTTTTGTACTAATTATAATGAAATTGACACACATGATTGAATTGCAACTCATCTCTGTTTCTCACAATAAAAATTAAACCTTTAGATGAAAAATAATTACAATCGAAATAGAAGAAATAGCGAAACCCTTCAAATTCAAACATCAAAATCAAGAGTAGTACATACATTAAACATTTATCTTAAGCTCAGGAGGAATAAAATCAAGAGTAGTACATACATTAAACATTTATCTTAAGCTCAGGAGGAATAGAAGAGAGTAACAAAGATAGAATGATTGGACAAGATATAAAAAACAAAATATAAAAATAAAAAAACACTACACTACTAAATAAAACCGGCAAAACTTAACAAGTCCTGCAAGGTCAAGAAAAAAAAAAGAAAAAAAAAACTTAAAATAATCCTAAAAGCTCAGGTGAGATACCGCCAGAAGTTGGTTAAATTCTAACACTTATAACATGATCATCACGGGTTGATATCGATGACGGTGTCGGGGTCGAGTAAGGCAAAGGGGAGAATGGAAATAGAGATGAATAGATGAGAAGAATAAGATTATCCATAAAGAATTGAGAGGGAGTGAGAGTTTTGGGAAAGAATGAAGTGATGTAAAGAGGCAAATGGAGGGAAGAAGGCATATTGGTGAAGGGATGGATTTAGGGTTTATATAAACAAAAAGAAGAAGAAGAAGAAGAAGAAGGAGAGAGAGAGAGAGAGAGAGAGAGAGAGAGAGAGAGAGAGAGAGAGAAGCTTATTGTGTAATGTTATGTGACAGTGGGACTATCTTTTAGGCTCTGAGTCACGTAAGTTTTGAAAAGAATTATGATGAGGCAATGGCAACACACAGCATGGGGACTCGGATTTTTCAAACCTTTCTCTCAAAGGTTACTTCATTCTTACTCTTTCTTTCAACCATATCCAACCCTTCAACCTCTCTCTCTCTCTCTCTCTCTCTCTCTTAAATTTCAGCGACTCCTACGTATTTTCATCTGTCTATAGGCTCGATATCCATTCAAAGATCAAACTCAAATTGATATTTTCGTTATATCGTAAAAAAGATATTGATTTGATCTTCAATATTTTAATATTATTAATTTTACCTTCCACGTAATCAAAATTCTAAATAAAGTCATTCTACAAATAATTTTTTAAAATTCGTTAACAAAAAGTACATGTCGGCCACCAACAAAATTCTGATTCAACGATGATCTAAGTGTGCATTTCACTACCAACATATGTTAATAAAACAATAGTTTAATAACATGATAAATTGCAACAAACTTGTACGGTGAATTTTTAATAAATTGAAGGTAACATTGAGAATTTGAAAAGATTGACGGACAAAATTGAAAACTTTGTCAAGGACTGAGGATGCCTTAATTTTGTTGCTAATATTTTATTTTTAAATTTAACAAAATGTAGGGCGGAGATTCCAACTTTTTCATCTTTTTTAGTTAATGATAATATGTTTAAAATAGCTAGTTAAGAACTATGCTTAAGTTGGTGAAGAAATTAAATATCTAAAATTGTTAATTTTTTGTATTCAGCTAAACGAGGAAAATAATGACCCATAGGTTACAAACTACAATTTTAGTCCCTTGCGATTGATTTCAATTTGATTTTATGATTTTAAATCTTTCAATTTGGTTGCTGTTTGTTTAGTTAAGGAAAATTGACATCATTTAGGGACATTTTATAAAATATTTCAATCTTTTAAGTTGTCATTTTTTTTGGACGAAAAATAATGATATTTTATTTTTCTTTTATTGAGTACACACGAGAATGAGAAATGAAACTCGTGTGACTTTTTATCGAAGATGAATGTCTTAACCATTTGAATTATATTCGAGTTATGATATGACATGATTTGCTTATGCGTCAAATATATTATACATCCAAATATAGAATGTCACATGTGAAAAAAAGTATATCAATATTAGATGATATATAATAATTTACAAGTTTATCCTTTGAATTTTTAAAATTGTATTGAATAGATCTTAAAATTAAGTATATCAATATTAGATGATATATAATAATTTACAAGTTTATCCTTTGAATTTTTAAAATTGTATTGAATAGATCTTAAAATTTTCAATTTTGTACTTAATAGATTTCTTTCTTCTTCGATATTTTATAAAATTCAAATACTTATTTGACACTAAATTATTTACAAGGTCATGACATTTCAATTTTAAGTTTAATATGTCCGTAAATTTTCAAAATATGATAGAGACTTGTTTAATGTATCATATATTTGTAAACTTCAAGATATATTAAACATAAAATTAAAATTTCAAGAACTTATTATACATTTTTTTTTTGAATTTCAGAGACGTATCAAACTCAATCCTAAAAATTTAGGACCTAAACTTAACCGTGAAAATGTTAAAGATACTTTGCAAGGATTACACGAAAGCAAATTAAAATTTTAAAACGATAGAAACTAAAATTCAAACCCCGCAAACCATAGATTAAAATAATAACTTAACCCAACGAATATTAAAAATCTACTTTAGTAATTAGTAATTCTCATATGTTTTCCAACATCAAATATATTGTAGGGTTAAACGGTTGTTCCATGAGATTAGTCGAAGCGCATGTAAACTCACCCGGACACTTAATATATAAAAAAAATATTAACAATTTAGTAATGAATCTCTTTATGATCTGCGGACCAATACAATGAATTTGAGTGCAAAGTTGCCCTAAACCTCTTTAAAAGAAAATGGCAGTAGAAGAAGAGGAGGAGATTGAAGCAAACAAATTATGGAAGCTTACACAGAGCTGCCATGTCTGAAGAAGCAAACTTCTATGTACCATAAGTTGCATGCATGGTTGCGCAAAAAAAAAAAAAAAAACCTAAATCTCTCTCTCTCTCCAAATGTTTCTCTCTCTAGCATGTCTTGAAACAAGCAAATATTGGAAAACACAATATTCAATGCTGGTACATGGGTTGTCACAGAAAGATCTTTCTAATATTTGCCTTTTCAGAGTTGAGAAAAAACACAAGACAGCTTTGTGACATTACCAAAAGACCAAAAAGCCCCCCTTGCAAAATTTCCAATGTATAGATGAGGAAAATATATTGCTTTTAATTTTTGTCTCTCCTGGTCACCCAGGCAAAGTTTAATACATGAATTTTTGGASTCACATCTGATAAGTTTCTAACGGTTCGTTCGATAACGTTTTCGTTTATTGTTTTTTTTCCTAAATTTTATTAAAAAATTTAAATATTTTGAAACTAAATATGTTTTTCGTTTCTTATTTTTTTTTTGAAACATTCTCAAAATTGTATAGAAATTTTGGAAACAATTAAAACAAGTTTCTTGTTTCTTGTTTCCGTTTCCAATTTGTTACACTATATAAATATAAAAATTATTTGATCATTCTTAAATTTATTGGCGTCTATACAATTCTATTTTTCTTTATTAAAAATGAAGAAATAGAAACAAGTTCTAACGGTACTTCAATAGGTCGTTGAATTTTCAATTTTTCTATTTAACAGAGGTTCTGTATATATGCATAGATGTTTCTAATTTTCTTTTCATTAGTAAGTTTAATAAGTTGAAAATTCAGCATTCTATAAGACTTTCTAATTCAATAAACCTATTAGATAGAACATTAAAAGTTTAAAAACTTATTAAACAAACACAATTATCAAATTTTGGAGATCAAACTTTATTTATGAAAAGTAAAATTAGTAGTGAAATATTTTGTAAAAATGCAGTCAATTTATTCTCTACAATGGCATTGGGCAGTCTGTGGTATAGAGTTGGCAGTGGAACTGTGGAAGAGGATTTTTCTGATGTGTGTTGTTCATTCATGAAGGGAGAGGACAAGTCCCAAACTGAAGCAATTATTCCGAAAACCTTTTTGACAGACAAAACTGTAAACACAACACAACAAACCCTTTTTTCTTTTTCTTTTTTTTTTTTTTGCCCATCTTCACACTCAACCCTACATACCTTCAATTGCATCCATGGCCACTTTTTTGTTTCTACTCTTTACAAAAGGGAGGAAAAAAAAAACCCATGTGGCACTTTTTTATTTGGTAAATGCAAGAAAAAATTGTCATACTGCTCTCTTTACCTTTAAAAAAGAAAAAATGTGTTGGGAATAACTAATTCATAATAAAAAAGGAATCTTTTCTCGTTAAAATGAGTTTTATCTTTAAATTTAGAATATTACTAATTTTAAAACTAGTAAAAATAGAAACTTGTTTCTATAAGACTTGAGGCTTCGGTTTTAAAGCATATACTTTTTATCTATCACTTTAATTGTTTTTGGTGGTTCCTAGATAATTATAGTACTTGTTACCACTCCCAACTACGAGTGCACGTGTCTTGGAGTGCCGTGTTAACTTTGACGGGCGAACGATTGAATCTCGATTGCACCACGGTCGAGCCATAAATCTACTTTCAGGACAGTGGTTTTGTTCACGGCACAACATAATTTCAATTCATATTTTCTGATTTTTCCAACAAAACTTTGTGGACTTAGTCATTGTCTTATATATCGGTGGTGACTTGGCCGTTTTCTTTTCTTCTTTTAGTCCAATTATAGGGTTTATAGCACAATCGAAGACCTTTGTTTTTCTGTAATTGAGACTTGAGAAGTGGAGTTTTGTTGGTTACATAGGTTTGCTTCCTCCAAATTACTTTTATATAATAAAATAATTAATGTAAATCATAAGCATTCAAATTGAACATGGATTACATCCTCTGTGACTGAAAATTTTTAATCTCTGCCCCCACGAAATTCTTCAATTTCGAGAATCGAGGTTGACGTCGAGGAATTCTTGTTTGAGGACGGAGATATTTGTTGGTAAAATAAACTATTTAGTAATTATTAT